ACCTGGCACTTATTTTCCCTAAAAATATATTATTAGATAAAGTAGCTAGGTCACAAAAGCTCACTCCTTCCCCAGTTTTATTCATAAGTGTACGTGTTGCCAGCCTCAGCGAAACAAAATGACTGTCAGGTTTAGTCATTTATTTAATCTAAGGTTTAAACCAAATTAAAAGTATGGTTAATGTCTTTTCCTGCTTCTGAACTTCTAAACACTTGAGTTTAGCGTTCCCTTGTGACTATAATAATAATAATAATAGTAAATATATTAATATGAGAAAGTGCTTGGTTATTAAAGAAAGCTTTCCTTCTTCCTGCAGGAACTTCTGCCCGTACACAGTTAGCAAGATGGTGTCGTGTAAGGTGGCCAACGGTACAGAGACTTACACCGGTAAAGTCGCCATCGGTAACCGTATCCAGTTCATGTATGTACGAAGTGTTTGTGCTGTGTTGTCTTTTGTTTCTGTTGTGTGGAGTTTTGTGTATTTTATTGACTATATGTACTTCGTTTACTTTTTTTCTCATTTTTTTTATCCACAAGTTTTCATTGACAAATAAGATAAATAAATAATAATAATCTTTATTTCTACAAGTACATGTAAAAGGATACAGTCCTAGCTGACATACCTGGAGGTTACCTGGAGGTTATTCCGGGGATCAACGCCCCCGCGGCCCGGTCCATGACCAGGCCTCCCGATGGATCAGGGCCTGATCAACTAGGCTGTTACTGCTGGCGGCACGCTGTCCAACGTACGAGCCACAGCCCGGCTGATCCGGCACTGACTTTAGGTATCTGTCCAGCTCTCTCTTGACGGCAGCCAGGGGTTTATTGGCAATTCCCCTAATGCTTGATGGGAGGCTGTTGAACAGTTTTGGGCCCCGGACACTTATGGTGTTTTCCCTTAGTGTACCAATGGCGCCCCTACTTTTTATTGGGGGCATTTTGCATCGCCTGCCCAGTCTTTTACTTTCGTAGGGAGTGATTTCTGTGTGCAGATTTGGGACCATTCCTTCCAAGATTTTCCAAGTGTAGATTATGATATATCTCTCCCTCCTGCGTTCCAACGAGTACAAGTCAAGTGCTTCCAAGCGTTCCCAGTAGTTAAGGTGCTTGACAGAACTTATACGTGCAGTAAAGGATCTCTGTACACTCTCTAGATCTGCGATTTCACCTGCTTTGAATGGAGATGTTAATGTACAGCAGTACTCCAGCCTAGAGAGAACAAGTGATTTGAAAAGGATCATCACTGGCTTGGCATCTCTCGTTTTGAAAGTTCTCATTATCCATCCTATCATTTTCTTTGCACGTGCGATCGTGGCACTGTTGTGATCCTTGAAAGTGAGATCCTCAGACATTACTACTCCCAGGTCCCTTACATTATTTTTCCGCTCTATTGTATGGCCGGAGTCAGTAGTATACTCTGTTCTAGTTATTATCTCCTCCAGTTTTCCATAACGGAGTAGTTGGAATTTGTCCTCATTGAACATCATATTGTTTACCGTTGCCCACTGGAAAACTTTGTTTATATCTTCTTGGAGGTTAACCGCGTCCTCAGCAGATGACAGCCTCATGCAGATCTAGTATCATCCGCAAAGGATGATACGGTGCTGTGGTGTATATCTCTGTTTATGTCTGATATGAGGATAAGGAATAAGATGGGGGCGAGTACTGTGCCTTGTGGAACAGAGCTCTTCACTATGGCAGCCTCCGATTTAACTCTGTTGACCACTACTCTTTGTGTTCGATTTGTTAGGAAGTTGAAGATCCATCTCCCCACTTTCCCAGTTATTCCTTTAGCACGTATTTTATGGGCTATTACGCCATGATCGCATTTGTCAAATGCTTTTGCAAAGTCTGTGTATATTACATCTGCATTCTGATTTTCTTCCAGTGCACCAAGGCCATGTCATAGTGATCCAGTAGTTGTGAGAGGCAGGAGCGACCTGCCCTGAACCCATGTTGCCCTGGATTGTGCAGATTTTGGGAATCCAGGTGATTTGCAATCCTGCTTCTTAGCACTCTTTCAAAGATTTTTATGATGTGGGATGTCAGAGCTATTGGTATCCTACTAAAAGTCTTAGCTAATGCTTTGCTGCCCCTTATGATGTGGGCTATATCCGTTGTTTTAAGTGGGCTGTGGAATTTCACCCATGTCCAAGCTCCTCCCATAGGGTCTAGGGCACGCAAGAGGGTTTCCCTTTCGTTCTTAATGAAACAGTTCAGTCATGTGGGCCCCGGGCTGAGTGCATAGGCATCTTGTCAATGGCTTTTTCGAATCTATCGAGTTAGGGTAATGTCGAATCTGGCTTAAGTACTTGGAGTTTTTGAGGTCTTCATGTGAAATCATTTGGTGTCGTGGATGCCTCAGACCGATTAGTGGTTCCCCTAAACACAGAGTCGTACTGGATTTCAATATTTACTCATTTCTTGTTCCATCTGTGTTAAGGTCCCATCCTGTCTGAGTTAAGGGCCGTTCGTTGAATTGTATTTGCCTTGTTTTGGCAATGAAATATTTTGAACTTTCTTTCATTCACTATAGCTTTAGCCTCGAACTCTCCTGGTTCTGTAAGATCTTTAGCTATAAGTTCGATAGTTTCCACTATCCCTGGTCAGCGCTCCTTTCGTGTATCAGATATTCTAGACTCCTGAGGACTCAGGACTCATCGCTCGTCTTTTGTGAGGAGCGTCTTTTCTCTCCAGTTTACTCCTCCTCTTCTTCTTTTAGGGAATTGCTAGAACAATGCTTCGTACCAGGAAGTTGATTCTTTCAAGGGACTGGTTTGGATCCATGTCATTTAACACATCTTCGCAACATGTTTCGTTTAGGACATGGTTACCTGGTCCAGTTGATGTTCTTGTTGTTGAAATTTGTATTTAGTGTAAGACACCTTCACATGTACATGATTCTGCTGTTCAGGACCCCTATGAAGTAGCTGGACTTCGATTAGATATGTGATCCGAATTAAGTTGTTTTTTGATATTCTAAGCTCTTATCAGGTCCTCATTATTTTGGTTTGGACATAATAATAAGGTTAAGCTGTGTTTTATCAGTCTGTGTTTTGGCTCCACTATCTCCTGGCTTAAGGTGTGCTTTTTCTGCAGAGCTTAGTAGCTCATGTGATGTGTGCCTTCATCTGCGCTACCTCCGGAGATTGTTTCAGCTATAAATTATTTGCTACATTCTTCATTGTTGTATGCTTAGGTTGAAATCACCAAGCTAGTTAAGATTTGGGATGGAGCTGGTAAGGTTTTCCAAACAGTAATCGATTTCAGTAGCGTTCCTTGAAACTGTTGTGAGGTTTGCATCTGGTGCGGCTTGTATACAACCACAATGATAGGTTTTGGTTCTCGATCTTTATTGATAACTTCAACTACCTCATTTCTGGTGTGTTCAGCAACTCCGTGCAGATAAGGGACTCTTTGACATACAGGCCAACCCCCCCTTGTTGCCTGTTTTTTCTGTCGCATCTAAAAAGGTTGTAACCACTTATCCATATTTCACTGTCAAAGTGATCTTTTGTGTGAGTCTCTGTGAAGGCTGCAAACATTGCATTAGACTCCACTAGAAGTCCACTGATAAAAGGTATTTTGTTGTTGGTGGATGGCTTAAGGCCCTGTATATTAGCAAATATGAACGAGGTTGTATTCTGTGTTTGTTGGGGGGACATCAATGACATACTACTATACAGAAAGCCCCTTGCTATGTAGAGCATTTCAGGCAAATTAGATCAATTTTGTCCCCAGGATGCGACCCACACCAGTCGACTAACACCCAGGTACCTATTTTACTGACAGGTGAACAGGGACAAAAGGTGCCTTAAGAAAACACGTCCTAATGTTTTTACCCGTATCGGGGATCGAACCACCGACCTCAGTGTGTGAGCTGAGTGCGCTAGCAATCGAGCAGTACTTGGATATCTTCATTGTTTAAACGTTTCATTTGAGCAGCAGGCTTCTTCAGTCGAATACAGAAATGATTTCAATGCTGGAGACCGTTGAAGAAGTGGAGAGATAATTTTGAGGTGTTCCGTCCCTCAACCTTGACAGGTGCTCAGTTCCTTTGTCTTGATCGAAGGTGGTCAGTCCCTTTTCATTGTGTAACATATTTTTTAGATTATATCCATAAATTTTTAGCGTCCAAGATGTTTTATACGACTCTTGCCTACTATATTTTCTTTCACACCATGAAACACAAATTTCATTACAATTTTAAATTATCATTTCATGATAAGGGGTGTCAATAGTGTGTTTTATATTATCTCATTGGCTTACACACTGTCCTGGTGTTTTAGGACTCACTCTCCTTGGGTTCAAACTCCACCCGTTCCGTGGTTTATCTCAGTGTTCACTCTTTACACCTGGAGCACTGACTTCTTGGGATCTAAGCTTCTCTTTCATCATCCGTTTTGTCTATGATCCATTGTCGTCTGTCTTTTCATTTAAATGTAGCTCTGATCATTTCGGGTTTAGCGCTTAACATGATTATAATAGTAATCATTTATTTACAAAATTATCTCTCCCCATCCCCTCCCTAACTCACCCTTTTGCTGTTTGTCCGCCCGATTTTCATTTTCTGGGTTGCTTTTCCTGTCTTACCTTCCATCTTTTCTACTTTCCTGTATACATTCCTTGTACGCTGTCTCCTGTTCTCCCTGCCTATTCTGTATTATTTCTAACTTTTCATATCCACCTCTTTCATACTCTCTCTCTCCCTCTTTCATATCCTTTCACCTAATCTACATTATCTTGGCCTATCCAGCTTATCCTAGGTAAGTCTATATTAAGTCAGTATTTTTTAACATGTTTAGCGAAATGATTGTTCTGCCTCTGTGAACTTCATCTCTGTTGTAGCTACTATATCTCATTCTGTCTATTATTCTTATTTCAGAATTTATTTGGGATATCATTCATTTATCTCCATTGGATCTCTCTGGTCCCTGCTTATCTGAGGGAATGATGAGGGATTCCGTCCAAGTATGGAAGTCTGTTATGATTCTGGAGCCTTTCCTCATTGAGAGAGGAGTCTCTTCCTTCGTTGTTTTGAAATATCTGTCCTTGGTTTGGTGTTACTCTGTGCGAGATATGGTTGAACGATGTGAGCAATGGGACAGTTTGGTGAGGAAGGAGGGCAACAAAGGGATATCCAGGTTATGTTGCAGATAGTGGTGGGAAGAGGTTTTCATGGGCTGGTTGTTGTAGTATCTAGTATCATGGAATAGTGTATGGAAGATGGGATGGCTGGGGCGGTGATATATTGGCAGGAAGAGGAGGGGGTGTTATTTGTCCCTATGTCCTGTCTGCTCGTTGATACGCTGATCGTCCCTGGTTGCTGAATTTCACTGGTGTCATTTCTTTTGGTTGAGTTGCTTTTTTATCTGTGTTTACCTTCATTTCATTATGTGTCTGTAATTACCGAATTCCTATTCTGTGCCTCACCGGAAGACTTAGTTTACCTTGGCGTGAAGGTATCCTATGTCCTCCATGATGGTTCGGAATAAGGGTCTGCTGGGCTTGGATATGAGAATTTTTGAAGAGTTTGCTCTACACAGTAGAACTGAAATAAAAAAAAACACGATTTTTTATACTGAATGTAATGTAATAAAACGATTTGTTACTATTTTTAATGAGATCTATCGGTATTACATTTATATTTTTATTTTTAGATACTTCGAGATGTCTGAAAAAATAATTGGTGTGATTTTTAATAGGTCTATTATAGCGATGAGCCTGGAACTTCAGCTCCCTCAGTCCCCTCTTTAATATAGGGCTCGGTTTTGATGGAGGCTACTCGCACAGATTCTGGTATCGTCTACAAACGACTATACAGTACTATGATTTATCATTATCTAATGTTATATATGATAATTGGAGAATTGGGTAAAGTACCATGTCCTCACAAACAGAGACTTTTCTTTTTCATTTAGTGTAAACTAAGAAATCAAGTGCAGAGTTTTCAAATGTGATTTCAGAAAATATGAACTTCCAGATAAGCAGAGAAAGAGAAGGCAGGCCTCCAGTGGTGTCTGTAGCAATTCCTCATTTTCTCGCTTTATCTGGTTCCTTTATCTGCCCCTTTAGGACGATGACACGACCCCGATACGTGACCTCGTTTAAGGAGGTGCAGGAGACGGACTACGGCTGTTGTCCTGGCTTTTACGGCGATAATTGTGATAATTGTGAGTCACTTTATTCCTTTTGCTCTTTACTGTGCCTTTGCCGTTGTACAATGTGTATAATCGACATACATTTATTTATGCTGATTTTATTGTGTATATTTTTTTTTACATATTTTCCCGTTGCTTCCGTGCCAGCTTGCTTCAACTGCACGCAGATCCACAACTTGTTGTCTCGGGTGCGAACGTTGGAGGCCAAGTTGCTACGGTCTCCTTCTGCTTCCCTCCCACCACTTGATGAACCCGTCATTGAGATGGGTCTGCCTGATACATCACACGTTAATGGTCACCCCCTCAACCAGGGGCGTGGTAGGGGGCGCAGCCGCTCCAGCAGCAGGGGTCGTGGGCGTGCGAGCACTAGCTCTAGAGGGCGTGGACGCGGCAGTGACAGGAGGAGCACAAGTAGACGGGAGGATGACCCCCGCGGGGACATCGATATCGTAGAGGAAGGAGGCACCGACGCCTACGATGTGAGCATAATGCCGTGTGGTTTTTTTTTTGTTTGTTAATTTATGCCGCCTGTGCAGCTAGTTTGTGTGCCTCTGCTCGTCCTGTGAGCGGAAGCCCAAAGAAAAGGACTACAGAGGTCACTTCTTTATTAGATCCCATTGGACATAGTTATATCTTTATTGTCATTAAAAGTTCTATTTTATATATTACGTCCTAATTATATACTTAAGTGCCTACTTAATCTGATGTGTAGGTACAGTCTTAATAACTTAGATAATTTATCACTAACAATAAAATAATTTCGTAGATTACAATTTCATCTTACAGTACAGTAGTTAGGTTATATAGTTGATGCAGAGTCTGGATGTATTCTCCAGATTTTAGATATCATTGTCAATAGATTTATTTTCCATTTCCCTTAATGTTTGTGTGGACGTGTCTAAATAGTTGGATTCATCATCGCCTCTCAGCAGCTCTTCCTCTGTCCAGTTAATACACTGTAATTGCAGCTTCATGAGAATGAGAACTTTTGAAACATCTCATTCACAAGTGCATGAATAAGACGCATGATCAATACTTGGGTATCTTTATTGTGGCATTATCAATATAATACAGAGAATTCTAGAGATGAGGTATTCAGATCCTTAGCCTCGAAAGGAGACAGTCAGTTCATCAGTCTTAATATATATAATGCTTATTTATCCATTTGTAGGTTTAATATACAGGCCCCACTTACATAGCGGGTTAGATTCCAGGCTACTGCTGTACAGCAAAAATTGCTGTAAAGTGAAACATAGCCTTTTTTTCATTTTCAAATGCATTTAAAAGCCTGATAACAAGTTTACACTATCATATATTACAGCTAGGCCTAAAAAAAATGTTTATACAGTACACATATTACTTACCTTGAAATATTTTCATCCTTAGCTTATAGTGACTGGTGAATATATTTATTGTAGGAAATCTGAATAAATGAAGAATGGGTATAAATGAAAACTGCTGCATTACCGAAATGCTGTAAAACAGGGCCTGCCTGTACCATTAATATATCTCACTCACAAGACTTATTGCTGTGTAAAAAAATCTAAATCTAAATACGATGATTAATACAGTTCACCATGTAACAGGTTGCCTCAGCACGGCCCACCCTCGCCACCTCCCAGGCAGGCTCGGGCCAGTGTGCTTGTCCACCTGGTCCACCTGGCCCCCCTGGTGCACCTGGACGCGACGGACGGGACGGTAACCCCGGGACGCCTGGCTTGCCAGGCACACCTGGAATTGTCACACGAGGGCCAGGTGAGTGATGCATTATCATATTTAACATATTCATGGGAAAGCGCTGAACCTCAGGGGTCATGTAGCACCTGGGGAAAAGGAGGTAATAAGATTTACCCGAGGAATGGGAGAGTAGCTCCAATTCCTTAAATCAAAAGCCCTCCACTAGTATCAAGGCACCCGTTGAAAGGTGGAAGGTCATGGACGAGTACTTCATAAGGAAACCACGAAACGAATGGGGTTTGAATCCACGAGTGAGTGAGTCCTACAACTCTAGGCCACTGCATAAGTCACTTGGCCAGCTGGCTACAGTAAAATTCATCTAATTAGGTATATTTCTATACACCATAGGGAGGTTAGCATGGGCCCCACTGTGACCACAAATGTTTTTCGAAAAATCATTATTATTAGTTTGCTAAATTGTCGTTGATACAAATTTCTTCAACAGGAAGTGGTTTGGGTGGCGAAACTAACTACGTTGCTGGTCCACCCGGGCCACCAGGATTGGCTGGGTCACCAGGACCCAGAGGCATTCCCGGTCATGATGGCCGTCCTGGACCAGCAGGTCCACCAGGGCGTAATGGACAGGATGGCACCCCAGGCCTTCAGGGACCACTTGGCCCTCCAGGTGTTATGCAAGGCTTACTCTCTGATTCACTACTATATTTACTTAAGGATTTTTTCCAGAGCATGTCTTGCCAAACCTTATTACATTTACAGATCTGCAAATCGATACATACGCATAAATTATACACGTATGTTTATATCTGTACATAATTGCCCATACTAAATAGGCAATTGCATAAACTGAAACAGGTACATTCACGTTAAATTATAATTACCATAAATTATAATTACACATAAATGTTCACAATTTTTTAGATTATAGCGATATAAAAACCTTAGGAAAATTTAATTGATTTAAAGGCAATTTTTAGTTTATATTCATTAAGTTTCACTTGGGACTGAAGTATCTTTGTGGTGAACAAAATACGCACTGGAGGCCTGGTCACAGACCGGGCCACGGGGGCGTTGACCCCCGGAACTCTCTCAAGGTAAACAGCCTTAATGAGCCCATTGAGCAGTTGACAGATTTTAAACCTACTTACGCAATCAGCCAATTACCCATTGACAGCAACTTTTTTCCCCAGGTCCTCCAGGTGAAAGCATACACGGACCAAAGGGAAGCCCGGGTCTTGATGGTCTTCCTGGTCAGCTAGGTCCTGCAGGTCCTCGAGGACTAGCTGGTGCCATCGGCCCTCCTGGACCCAGGGTAATATTGTGACAGTTGCATGTTAGTGAGAATTACACATTGCACTGTGTTTCATGAAGTGTTAAACCCCTGTATCATACGGCGCAGTGAGAGATGAAGGCTCTGCCTTAAGAGGCGCCTGAGTTTCCCTGTCTCATAATATCATGTTTATTTTTCCCCTATAATCTACGTTGTTCATAATTACTATCGCATTTGCTTTGTCTCTTTTCGTAAGGTGAAGTCTAGGATCTTTCTTTAATTCATGGTATAACTTAACAAATCTTTGAGGACAATTGTCCTCAAGTTAAATTATACCATGAATTAAGGAAAGATCTTAGACTTCACCTTACGAAAGCAGACAAAGCAAATGCGACAATAATTACGGACAAGGTAGATTATAGGGGGAAATAATATTTTATTAGAAAACAAGGGAAGTGACGTGCCCCTTAAACTCCTGACTCTAGTGCTATCTTCACTGGATGCTTGCCCTTGTCATACACAGCCAGCTGGGTACTTGGCCGGGGCGCCATACATCAGCTCTGAAGCCCAATTTTTCAGCCACAGACAACATGACACTGTTATAAAAACAGTGAAATGGGTGGCTGTTGGCGGAGCCTTGAACAGTTGAAATATGGCATAGTTATACCTGCCGTGCTCAGTGGCTGCTAAACAAGTAGGGGTCATATAACACCTGGGGAATGGGAGGCAATCAGGTGTGATCCTCCAAGGAAGGGAAGAATAGCTTTAATTTCTCGAATCAAGATCCCTTCACCATAATTGTCTGCAAATCTTCAAAATGTTGACAAAGCTCTGTGTTACAGGGTGAACCTGGCCTTAATGGCATTGCTGGTACGCCAGGGCAACCTGGTCCAAAGGGCGAGATAGGTCCTGTAGGAGCCCCAGGAACACAGGGTAGGAATGGTCTCCCTGGAGCACCTGGACCTGTTGGCCCACCTGGACCTCCTGGCCCACCTGGACTTCCTACCCCTCTTATTCCAGCTCGAGGGTTCGATCAGTATATCCGTAAGTTATTAATACAAAATTTATGTCATTGACTATACCTTCTGGTCTGATATGTATAGTATATTCATGAGAAAGTGCTGAATTTAAAGGAGTCATGTTTAGCGTTTTTATGTAATAATAATAATAATAATAATAATAATAATAATAATAATAATAATAATAATAATAATAAGAAGAAGAAGAAGAAGAAGAAGAAGAAGAAGAAGAAGAAGAATCAAAAGTCATACTGCACCTTGGTAATATAATTGTCTCATAACATATCATTAGTTCAACTAAGGTAGGCTTTTTTGTTTATAGAAAGAAGTGAGAAATTTGTGCAACTGGATAGTCATTTATGTACAAGAATGATATACAATACCGACAAGATGAAATTAAGACACATGTGCAACATCTGGGTATCTTTATTGTAGACGTTTCGCCATCCAGTAGCTTTATCAATAAAAATTCCAGTTATGTCCTGGAATTTGTATTGATAAAGCCACTGGATGGCGAAACGTCTACAATAAAGATACCCAGATGTTGCACATGTGTCTTAATTTCATCATAGTCATTTATGAGTGTGCCTCATTTATCTGTTGTTATTATTATTGTTTTATTATTATTGTTTTTATTATTATTATTATTATTATTATTATTATTATTATTATTATTATTATTATTATTGTTGTTGTTGTTGTATTATTATAAAAGTGCCAAACCTTTATGAGCCATATGGTTGCTTTTTTTTTTTAACATTGTCAATTTTTACCCATGAAGGTGGTATGATCCCCCCAAAAAGAGGAAATGCACTCACCATCATTCGGTCAATCACTGTCTTGCCAAAAGTGTGCTGACATCACATTTCAAATAACCCTCCCAACAGCAGCATCTCCACCCTTCCTTCACTGTAGGCACTACCCTTCAGATCCCCAGCCTCTCCTGGAGAGCATGCATTTATTGTTTAATTTAACTTGCAATAAAGATATTAAACAACCAAGGTGACATCATGTATTCCTGTCTAAGGCCTACTTTTACTGGGAAATAATCTTCCTCCTACACAGCCTAATCTAAGCCTCACTGTCCTCATAAAAGCTTAATGCTTTCAGTAACCTACCACCTATTCCATACACTTACATCTGCCACATTGCTCCCCTATCCACCCTATCATATGGCTTTTCCAAAGACGTAAATGCAACAAAAACCTCTTGATCCTTATCTAAATACCGTTCACTTTTATGCTTCACTGTCAACACTTGGCCTACACATCCTCTACCCTTCCTAAAGCCTCCTTGTTCATCGGCAATCCTGCTCTCCATCTTACTCTTAATTCTTTCACCGTACACCTTACTAGGTATATTCAGCAAGTTTATTCCCCTGTAATTCTTACGCTCTCTCTTGTGGCCCCTTTGCCTTTATACAAAGGAACTATGCACACTTTCTGCCAATCCCTAGGTACCTTCCCCTCACTTATATATTTATTAAATAAAAGCACCAACCATTCTAAAACTGTATCCCCACTTACTTTTAACATTTCTGTCTTGATCTCATCAATTCCAGCTGATTTACTCTCTTTCATTCTACCCAATGCTTCACATTTAAAAGTTTAAAACCATTATGGTATTGTATATTGATAGAATATTTGTTCCTATCATGTCTTGCCCTTTGATACTTTTATTTACTAATATTGCCTCACAAAACTAAATCAATGCAGAACTTCTAAATGCATTTAGTAAGACTTTCTTCCCACTTGAGCATTTTCAAGTTTATCAGTATCCTTCCTCAAATATGGTATAATAATAATAATAATAATAATAATAATAATAATAATAATAATAATAATAATAATAATAATAATAATAATAATAGGGTGCTCCATGGGGAAGTGGAACCGAATTCTTCTTCCATAAACCAAGCGTGTTGTAAGAGGCGACTAAAATGCTGGGAGCAAGGAGCTAGTAACCCCTTCTCCTGTATACATTACTAAATTTAAAAAGAGAAACTTACTTTTTTCTTTTGGGGCCACCCTGCCTCGGTGGGATATGGCCAGTTTGATGAAAGAAGAATAATACGGTGGATAATAATAATGATAATGTGGCAGATGTTGCAAATGCATGGAATAGGTGGAAAGTCACTTAAAGCAGTAAAGAGCCTTTAAGTGGATAGTGAGGCTCAGGCTGAGGTATGTTGGAGAGAGGGAAATTATTTTCCAGTAAAAGTAGGTCTTAGAGATGTGCAGTGTCACCATGATTGTTTAATATATTTATAAATGGAGTTGTAAAAGAAGTGAACACTAGGGTGTTGAAGAGAGGTGTGGGATTGAAAGATGGTGAATCTGGTTCCGAGTGGGAGTTGTCACAGTTGCTTTTTTTGTCGATGACAGTTCTTTTGAGAGATTTCAAGAGACGTTGCATTTGGGAGGATATGTAAAAGATTGGAGGAAAGGAGTATGGAGGAGGTAAATGTGTTCAGATATTTGGGAGTGAATGTGTCAGTTGATAGTTCTTGGTGAGATGAGGTGAATCCTAGATTTGACAAAGGGAAAAGGGTGGGTGTTTCAGTGAGGCATCTGTGGAGACAAGAACTTTATCCATGGAAGCAAAAAGGGAAATGTACCAGAGCATAATGGTACTAACACTGTTGTATGGATGTGAGGCATGGGTTTTGAATATTGCAGTGAGGAGGAGGCTGAAGGCAGTGGAGATACTGGTGTTTTTTGAGCTGACATGCTGTTGGAGTGAGCGAGGTAACATATATGAAGGTATTCAAGAAAACTGGTTAGCCACACTCGAGTCCTGGAGGTGCGAAGTACAGTGCCTGCACTCTGAGGGAGGGATGGGGATATTGCAATTTGGAGGGGCATCTGAGCTGCAGTATCGGCATGCCTCAAGCAAGACAGTGGAGTGAATGATGGTTAAAGTGTTTTTTTATTTTTTTAGGTCACCCAACCTTGGTAGGAGATAGCTGGTGTGTTTAATGTGTTAACATATTCATATAACTAAATACCTTTTATCAGTTTTATTTTGATATAGTAAATTCATTCATTTTGTAATAAATATTACTCCTCACACAAAATAGAGCGAAACACCAACGTCAACAAGACCTGGGAGTGATCATGTCGGAGGATCTCACCTTCAAGGACCATAACATTGTATCAATCGCATCTGCTAGAAAAATGACAGGATGGATAATGAGAACCTTCAAAACTAGGGAGGCCAAGCCCATGATGACACTCCTCAGGTCACTTGTTCTATCTAGGCTGGAATATTGCTGCACACTAACAGCACCTTTCAAGGCAGGTGAAATTGCCGACCTAGAAAATGTACAGAGAACTTTCACGGCGCGCATAACGGAGATAAAACACCTCAATTACTGGGAGCGCTTGAGGTTCCTAAACCTGTATTCCCTGGAACGCAGGAGGGAGAGATACATGATTATATACACCTGGAAAATCCTAGAGGGACTAGTACCGAACTTGCACACGAAAATCACTCACTACGAAAGCAAAAGACTTAGCAGACATGCACCATCCCCCCCAAAGAAAAGCAGGGGGGTCACTAGCACGTTAAGAGACCATACAATAAGTGTCAGGGGCCTGAGACTGTTCAACTGCCTCCCAGCATACATAAGGGGGATTACCAACAGACCCCTGGCAGTCTTCAAGCTGGCACTGGACAAGCACCTAAAGTCAGTTCCTGATCAGCCGGGCTGTGGCTCGTACGTTGGTTTACGTGCAGCCAGCAGCAACAGCCTGGTTGATCAGGCTCTGATCCACCAGGAGGCCTGGTCACAGACCGGGCCGCGGGGGCGTTGACTCCCGGAACTCTCTCCAGGTCTCCAGGTAAACTGTATGTTTTTATCCACAGCTGACTATGCTGGTGCTCTTGGAGAAGGACATGAGGGTAGTGGCTATGGGGTTGCTGTTGATGATGATGAGTATCCTCTTGGGATCCCTGGCTTGCCCCGTCCCCGTGGTTATCCAGGGCCTCCTGGACCCAAGGGACAGAAAGGTAGGTGTGCCATTAATGTTTGGAATGACATGAACAAGGTATGGTGGCTCTGTTGTGATTTCTATTGTATTATTATATTCATGGGAAGTGTTAATTCTGTAGGGGCCAAACAGAACCTTGGGAATAGGAAGAAATCAGGTTTGATCCATTGAAGGAGGGTAGTTCACTTATTGGATTCAGTGGACAGCATCATGGCTGCACTGAAGGAAACCCAAACAGGAACAAAATATACTATATCTATTATAGACATTTCACATACAGAATTAAATAAACTTGGCATCTTCTATTCTTTATCCAGGTAAATAACTAATAGAAAAACTAGTCATTGGTACAGTTCTGAAAATTAATAAAGAGTAAATGTGCATGTTTTAATTCACGCACAAGCTGCATTGTCCCTCGTGTGGCACTTCAGCTTTTATAATTCTCTTGTGATACCATAAAATTCATGATTCATTGCTTTTTCATGCTCTACAGGATTTTGGATGCATTAAATAATAATGGTGAGTACACGGTTTTATTTGCAGCATTCGGCTTCAGATTATTTAGTTTCGTTAAAAATTAATATATCCATGGATGCAAAAATGGAATTGTATGAGAGTATAGTGATACCAGCACTCTTATACAGGTGTATGCCTGGAGGGTGTGAAGCATGGGTTGTGAATGTTGCATCAAGAAGGAGGTTGAAGGCAATGAAGATGTCGTGTCTGAGGGCAACATGTGGTGTGAATATGCAGAAAATTTGCAGCTTGGATATTAGGACGAGGTGCAGAGTTACTAAAAGTATTATCCAGAGGGTTTATTGAGGTAATTTGGATATTTAGAGAGGATGGAACAAAATAGGATGACTTGGAGGACATATAAATATGTGGTGGAGGGAAGATGGGGTAGGGGTTGCCCTAGGAAAGATTGGAGAGAGGGGATAAAGGTTTTGTATGTGAGGGGCTTAGACAGCCAGCAAGCTTGTTAGATAGGAGTGAGTGGAGGCAAGTGGTTTTCATGACTTGATGTGTGACTTGGAGTGTGAACAAAGTAACATTTATGAAGGGATTCAGGGAAATCAGTTATCTGGACCTAGAATCCTGGAGGTGGGAAGTACAGTGCCTACACTTTAAAGGAGTGGGGCGTATTTGTAGTTTTGAACTGTAGTATTGGCATGCCTCCATCACTGGTAAGACAGTGATGGAGTTAGTACTGGTGAATGTTTTTTTTTTTTTTTTTTTTTTTTTTTTTTTTTTTTTTTTTTGGTGGAGGGTCACCCTGCCTCGGTGGTAGATTGAAGTTGTGTTAAAAAAAAGTATGTCAAGATCAAAGAGAGAAATTCAGGCTTATTAATATATTCTTGAATACCTTATAATGAAACATTATTTTTTTTTTCAAGGAAGAAAAACTGTAATAGTACATATATGCCCTTAACATATTATTGTAGAGATGCACATCAGTCAGTCAGAGAGGTAGAATACTGCTGGATCTTAACAATAGCTGAATGGTTGATTATGTAAACCTGGGTAGAGGCATGGCTGACAAATAGGCAGCAGAGAGTTTGTATAAATGGGGAGAAATCAGAATGGGGGCACGTCACAAGCGGTGTTCCTCAGGGGTCAGTGTTGGGCCCGTTGTTGTTCACAATTTACATAAACGACATAGGTGAGGGAATAAATAGCGACATAAGCAAATTTGCTGATGACACCAAAATAGGCCGTCCAATTCATTCTAATGAGGACACTAGAGCACTCCAGGATGATTTGAATAGACTGATGCAATGGTCGGAGAAGTGGCAGATGCCATTTAATATTGACAAATGCAAAGTTCTGAATGTTGGACAGTTAAATAACCATGCCACATATAAACTAAATGATGTAGATCTTAATGCTACTGATTGTGAAAAGAATTTAAGAGTTCTGGTTAGCAGTAATCTAAAACCAAGCCAACAGTGCATTAGTGTTCACAATAAAGCTAACAGAATTCTTGGCTTCATATCTAGAAGTTTAAATAATAGAAGTCCTCAGGTTGTTCTTCAACTCTATATATCCTTGGTTAGGCCTCATTTAGACTATGCTGCTCAGTTCTGGTTACCGTATTACAGAATGGATATAAATGCTCTGGAAAACGTACAGAGGAGGATGACAAAGATGATCCCATGTATCACAAGTCTTCCATATGAGGATAGACTGAGGGCCCTGAATCTGCACTCTCTCAAAAGGCGTAGAATTAGGGGGGGGTATGGCTGTATAGCCCTTGTGGCTTAGCGCTTCTTTTTTATTATAATAATAATAGGAGGGATATGATCGAGGTGTATAAATGGAAAACAGGAATAAATAAAGGGGATGTAAATAGTGTGCTGAAAATTTCCAGCCAAGACAGGACTCGCAGCAGTGGTTTCAAGTTGGAAAAATTTAGATTCAGGAAGGATATAGGAAAGCACTGGTTTGGTAATAGAGTCGTGGATTAGTGGAACAAACTCCCGAGTACAGTTATTCAGGCTAAAACATTGTGTAGTTTTAAAAATAGGTTAGATAAATACATGAGTGGGTGTGGGTGGGTGTGAGTTAGACCTGACTAGCTTGTGCTGCTGGATCTGGTGCCGTGGAGGTGACCAGACTGGGTGGGTCATTGGGCTAATCCGGGGGGGGGGGCATGGACCTGCTCCGCATGGGTCAATAGGCCTGTTGCAGTGTTCCTTCTTTCATATGTTCTTAATATGTCATTGCTGGGGCATTTCCTTCTCATCTAAAGCCAAATGATCACCAAATAGCATATTCTAAATAACTTGAGACAATTATGATTTGTAGCATGCATGTCAATAATAATAATAATACGTAACATCATAATATCTTTATTTCTACAAGTACATACATGTACAAAGTACGTATACAGGCCTAGCTGACACCAATGACATACACTACTATATAGAAAGCCGCTTGTTATGCTGAGCATTTAAGGCAAGTTAGGTCAGTTTTGTCCCAGGATGCGACCCACACCAGTCTACAAACACCCAGGTACCCATTTTATACTGATAGGTGAACAGAGACAGCAGGTGTCTTATGGAAACACGTCCCTAATGTTTTCCAGCCTTACCAGAGATTCGAACTCCGGACCTCAGTGTGTGAGCTGAGTGTGCTAGTGATCGAGCGTTACTTTGATAAATATTTGCTGTACTGCATACTGTAGTTAACTAATAAAATTTCAAGATGCAAATATTCTCCTGTGTTGATGTACCATGGTGTAATAGCGCACAAAATGCGTGCTAAAGGAATAACAGGAAAAGTCAGTCGATGGATCTATAATTTCCTCACTAACAGAACACAGAGAGTAGTAGTCAACAGAGTAAAGTCTGAGGCAGCTACGGTGAAAAGCTCTGTTCCACAAGGCACAGTACTCGCTCCCATCTTGTTCCTCATCCTCATATCTGACATTGACAAGGATGTCAGCCACAGCACCGTGTCTTCCTTTGCAGATGACACCCGAATCTGCATGACAGTGTCTTCCATTGCAGACACTGCAAGGGTCCAGGCAGACATCAACCAAATCTTTCAGTGGGCTGCAGAAAACAATATGAAGTTCAACGATGAGAAATTTCAATTACTCAGATATGGTAAACATGAGGAAATTAAATCTTCATCAGAGTACAAAACAAATTCTGGCCACAAAATAGAGCGAAACACCAATGTCAAAGACCTGGGAGTGATCATGTCGGAGGATCTCACCTTCAAGGACCATAACATTGTATCAATTGCATCTGCTAGAAAAATGACAGGATGGATAATGAGAACCTTCAAAACTAGGGATGCCAAGCCCATGATGACACTCTTCAGGTCACTTGTTCTATCTAGGCTGGAATATTGCTGCACACTAACAGCACCTTTCAAGGCAGGTGAAATTGCTGACCTAGAAAATGTACAGAGAACCTTCACGGCGCGCATAAAGGAAGATAAAACACCTCAGTTACTGGGAGCGCTTGAGGTTCCTGAACCTGTATTCCCTGGAACGCAGGCGGGAGAGATACATGATTATATACACCTGAAAAATCCTAGAGGGACTAGTACCGAACTTGCACACGAAAATCACTCACTATGAAAGCAAAAGACTTAGCAGACGATGCAACATCCCCCCAATGAAAAGCAGGGGTGTCACTAGCAAGTTAAGAGACCATACAATAAGTGTCAGGGGCCCGAGACTGTTCAACTGCCTCCCAGCATACATAAGGGGGATTACCAACAGACCCCTGGCAGTCTTCAAGCTGGCACTGGACAAGCACCTAAAGTCGGTTCCTGACCAGCCGGGCTGTGGCTCGTACGTTGGTTTGTGTGCAGCCAGCAGTAACAGCCTGGTTGATCAGGCTCTGATGCACCAGGAGGCCTGGTCACAGACCGGGCCGTGGGGGCGTTGACCCCCGGAACTCTCTCCTGGTAAACTCCAGGTAAGCTAAAGCTGTCTTGTAATTTTTTAATAGGGCAATTTATGATTACTAAATGTACATTTTTAAATACAGTAATAAAATTGTATTAAGTGAAAAAATGTTGCAGTCACAAAATTAGAAAAACTACTGTATTTAGGTAAATAGGCACATGCAATATTATGAGCTATTTATTAAGGCAATGTCTTACCCACCACTGACTATTAATTCAAAACATACATTATGTAATGATGGATTGGCTTGACAAAGTCTTTGGTGGGCAAAATGTTGTTTTAGTGCATATCAGTATGTATCTATTCATCCATTATTGGTATTACTACCAGTAATTACACACTATGTAGTTTATTTGAAGAAAAAAGTTAACCCTAGTTCCTTCTTCAACAGGTGATCCTGGACGCCCAGGTCTTCCAGGCACGAAAGGTGACCGTGGATTTGAAGGCTTACGTGGGTCTCCTGGTATGTTTTATTGTTTAAATTATGTTGTATAGTATCAGGAATTAACGTCATTTTATCATTATTTCTTGTGTTCAAATTTTCTTACATCCTTGGAAGTTGCTTAAATCAAAAACTTATTTTAGACTTTCAATTTTAGTAAAATACACATGTATACTTTTTAGCAAAAGTAAATTAGTAAAATTAGATTGCTAGTTTATCATTTTGAGATTGTTAAAAAAACTATGATCCTCTAGAGTGTTTATTCTGCATTGTTTTAATGCCTTCGATTGTTAAAAAAAAAATATAATCCTCTAGAGTGTTTATTCTGCATTGTTTTAATGCCTTCATATAAAGCTGTGCATGGTTTTTTTCACTAATGTCTTGTGGCAGTTGAAGGTGTCTATTCACATAAATCTCAAGTACAGTGGACCCCCGGATAACAATATTATTTCAATCCAGAAGTCTGTTTGGGTGCCGTTATAGACCGAATTTGTTCCCATAAGAGATATTGTGAATTAGATTAGTCCGTTTCAGACCCCCAAAAATACACCTACAAAAGCACTTACAAAAATACACTTACATAATTGGTCGAGTTGGGAGCTGATCGTTATGCGGGGGTCCACTGTACATATATAGGTTTATAAATTTTCATATTAACAGAATGGGCAGTTAAATCTGAATGTTCCCTTCTTGTGTGGTATTATTTCTTTGAATTATTATTTGTTATCTGTTAAATGCAGTTGTGGTGTAACTGTAGCACAGAATGAGATTTTTAAGTAGTGAAGTACAGTGGACCCTCGGTTATCGGCCATAATACGTTTCAGAAAGTCGGCCTAAAACTGAAATGGCCAAAAACCGAAATAATATTTCCCATAAGAATTAATATAAATAAAATTAATCCGTTCCAGACACCCAAAAATATTAACAAAAAATACATTTTTTGAAGATTAATTGTAGTTTTACATACACAAAACAATGAGAACTAAAAAAACAAAAACATGAACAATTAAATCACAATTATATACCTTTAGTGAAGACTCTTGTTTGCTTATGGAAGATAGGGAGGAGGAGAGAGGAAGTTGGGGTTATTGTTTGGAAGGGAAATCCCCCTCCATAAGAACTTCAGGTAACAAGTCCCTCTCTGGGGTTACTGCCCTTCTTTGTCTTTTAACCCTTTCAAGGTTTCCGACGTACTAGTACGGCTTACGCACCAAGGTTATTGACATACTAGTACAGTGGACCCCCGGTTAACGATATTTTTTCACTCCAGAAGTATGTTCAGGTGCCAGTACTGACCGAATTTGTTCCCATAAGAAATACTGTGAAGTAGATTAGTCCATTTCAGACCCCAAACATACACGTACAAACGCACTTACATAAATACACTTACATAATTGGTCACATTCGGAGGTAATCGTTATGCGGGGGTCCACTGTACACCTAAATTCTAGCGCCTTCAAATATAGCAAGAGAAAGCTGGTAGTCCTATATATGAAAGAATGGGTCTATGTGGTCAGTGTGCGCAGTATAAAAAAAATCCTGCAGCACACAGTGCGTAATGAGAAAAAAAAACTTTGACCATGTTTTTGATAAATTAGACGCATGTGCAACTCTTGGGCATCTTTATTGAGGAAACGTTTTGCCACTCAGTGGCTTCATCAGTCCATACAAAGGAGAAATGTGAAGAACAGGAGGAGAATGAGGTAATCAGTCCCTCAACCTTGAGTAGATGTGGTCAGTCCATCAATCTTGAATAGAATACAGCATATCTCCAGAGAAGTAGCTTATATACCGTAGGCAGGAGAGGTGCAGCACTGAGTGGCGAAACGTTTCCTCAATAAAGATGCCCAAGAGCTTGCACTGTATTTTCGCATGGTATTTATGGTTGTATTCTAGTTTTTCTGGTCTCATTTTATAGAGTGGAAGACATATTACAGAAATTGAGATTATTTTGATTGGTTTCACAATGAAAAGTACCTTGAAATTGAGCTCAAAGTAGCAGAAATGTTCGATTTTTTCCCAAGTTCACAAGTAAACAAACCATGCCACGCGTCCAATACATGTCAACTGGTGAATCTAATATTCTTTCACAAGTGTGCTGATATTATTTATACCATTTCTATACTAATGCAGTAGTCTGCATAACAGTATATCTTTTATTTTTTTGTGAGAATAAAAATTCAAAGTGGAAAGCAAAAGGAATGTAAGAGGGCCTGGGGACGTGACTAATGAACAGAGGAAATGTTATTTTAGTGCCAGGAATATCTGTCTTGTTTATTCTGGACCCTATTTGGAAATTGGCATCTTTTGAAATTTGTGTGAAATTGGCAAAATTCCTAATTTCTGACCACTTCATTGGATAGTTGAAATTGGTAAATGGGTGGTTTCTTGTACTCATTCGATAGAAAAAATAGAGTTCTAGCGAAATAGCTATGATTTTTGTCGACTAGTACATTGGAATTGGCCAAAAATAGGGCTCCAGTTGGGTGAAATCACCGATGCATAAACATCATTGAGACCGCTAACTTCGCGAGAGCATAATTCCGTAAGTTTTCCATCAAATTTCATACTTTTGGTGTCATTATGATCGGGAAAAGATTCTCTATCTTTCATACGAAAACATAATTTTTTTTTTTTTCCGAAAAATTTTCGACCCTGAGAGCAAGAACATCAACTGGGACCAGGTAAACCATGTCCTAAACGAAACATGTTGGGAAGATGTCTTAAATGACTATGGATCCAAACCAGTGCCTTGAAAGGATCAACTTCCTGGCAGCCAAAGCATGTTCTAGGCATATTCCCCTAAGAAAGAAGAAGAGCAGGAGTAAACTGGAGAGAGAAAGACGCTCCCTCTACAGAAGACGACAATGAGTCACTGAGCTCCTCAGGAGTGCTAGAATATCTGATACACGAAAGGAGGTGCTGACCAGGGAAGTGGAAACTATCGAACTTAAGTTAAATGACTCTTACAGGAACCAGGAGAGGCAGGAGGAGCTTAAAGCTATTAGTGAAATTGAAAGAAATTCAAAATATTTCTTTTCATATGCCAAAAACAAGGCAAATACCACATCTAGTATGGGGCCCTTACTTAGACAGGATGGGACTTACACAGATGACAACAAGGAAATGAGTGAAATATTGAAATCCCAGTACGACTCTGTGTTTAGTGAACCACTAATCGGTCTGAGGATCGACGACCCAAATGATTTCTTCAAGAATAAGCCTCAAAACTCCATATGTGTATGCCAGATTTCCGACATTACCCTAACTCCGATAGATTTCGAAAAAGCCATTGACAACATGCCTATGCACTCAGCCCCGGGCCAGACTCGTGGAACTCTGTTTCATTAAGAACTGCAAGAAACCCCTCTCGCGTGCCCTGAGTACACTATGGAGGAAGAGCTTGGTCATGGGTGAAATTCCACAGTCACTTAAAACAACGGATATAGCCCCACTCCATAAAGGTGGCAGCAAAGCATTAGCTAAGAACTATATACCAATAGCTCTGACATCCCACATCATAAAAATCTTTGAAAGAGTGCTAAGAAGCAGGATTGCAAATCACCTGGATTCCCAAAATCTGCACAATCCAGGGCAACATGGGTTCAGGGCAGGTCGCTCCTGCTCTCACAACTACTGGATCACTATGACATGGCCTTGGATGCACTGAAGAAAATCAGAATGCAGATGTAATATACACAGACTTTGCAAAAGCATTGACAAATGCGATCATGGCGTAATAGCCCATAAAATACATGCTAAAGGAATAACTGGAAAGTGGGGAGATGATCTTCAACTTCTAACAAATCGAACACAAAGAGTAGTGGTCAACAGAGTTAAATCGGAGGCTGCCATAGTGAAGAGCTCTGTTCACAGGCACAGTACTTCGCCCCCATCTTATTCCTTATCCTCATATCAGACATAGACAGAGATATACACCACAGCACCGTATCATCCTTTGCGGATGATACTGAGGATCTGCATGAGGCTGTCATCTGCTGAGGACGCGGTTAACCTCCAAAAGAAGATATAAACAAAGTTTTCCAGTGGGCAACGGTAAACAATATGATGTTCAATGAGGACAAATTCCAACTACTCCGTTATGGAAAACTGGAGGAGATAATAACTAGAACAGAGTATACTACTGACTCCGGCCATACAATAGAGCGGAAAAATAATGTAAGGGACCTGGGAGTAGTAATGTCTGAGGATCTCACTTTCAAGGATCACAACAGTGCCACGATCGCACGTGCAAAGAAAATGATAGGATGGATAATGAGAACTTTCAAAACGAGAGATGCCAAGCCAATGATGATTCTTTTCAAATCACTTGTTCTCTCTAGGCTGGAATACTGCTGTACATTAACATCTCCATTCAAAGCAGGTGAAATCGCAGATCTAGAGAGTGTACAGAGATCCTTTACTGCACGTATAAGTTCTGTCAAGCACCTTAACTACTGGGAACACTTGGAAGCACTTGACTTGTACTCGTTGGAATGCAGGAGGGAGAGATATATCATAATCTACACTTGGAAAATCTTGGAAGGAATGGTCCCAAATCTGCACACAGAAATCACTCCCTATGAAAGTAAAAGACTGGGCAGGCGATGCAAAATGCCCCCAATAAGGGAAAACACCATAAGTGTCTGGGGCCCAAAACTGTTCAACAGCCTCCCATCAAGCATTAGGGGAATTGCCAATAAGCCCCTGGCTGCCTTCAAGAGAGAGTTGGACAGATACCTAAAGTCAGTGCCGGATCAGCCGGGCTGTGGCTCATACGTTGGACTGCGTGAGGCCAGCAGTAACAGCCTAGTTGATCAGGCCCTGATCCATCGGGAGGCCTGGTCATGGACTGGGCCGCGGGGGCATTGATCTCCGGAATAACCTCCAGGTAACCTCCAGGAGAGGGCCTCTCGACCCTGAAACGCTTAATGCCACTAGGACCAGCTTGAGAGTCACTGGACCCCTGTTGCACAAAATAACTGTCCAGAGTGCTCTGTTTCTGGAGTCTAAGATTTCCTGAAGTGGGACAAGATTTTGTTAATGAACATGTCACAGATATGGCTTGTTTCAGCTTGGTCAGGGTGATACTTTTCAACAAAACTTTGCAACTCATTCCACTTTGCACACATATCCTTAATCACTGAAGAAGGCACCTTCTCCCCTCTCTCTTCCTCCTCCTCTGAAGCAATTTCCTCAGCTGCAGTCTGTTGCTGTTCTAGTTGAAGGTCTTGCAGCTCTTCAGTGGTTAGCTCTTCCCTGTGGTCCTCCACCAACTCTTCCACATCCTCGCCACTCACATCCAACCCCATGGATTTCCCCAGTGCCACAATAGATTGCACAACAGGCATAGGGTCCTCAGGGTCATCCCCAAACCCTTCAGAATCCCTCTCTTGGACACAATCTGGCCACAGTTTTCTCCAAGCAGAGTTCAAAGTCCTGGAAATCACTCCGTGCCAAGCTTTACCTATAAGGCTTATGCAGTGGAGGATACTGAAGTGATTCCTCCAGAACTCTCTTAGGGTCAAATGAGTGTCTGAGGTCACTTCAAAGCAACTTTGAAACACTGCTTTTGTGTAGAGTTTTTTGAAGTTAGAAATGACCTGCTGGTCCATGGGCTGGATGAGAGGAGTGGTGTTAGGAGGCAAGAACTTCACTGTTATAAAACAGAAGTCCCTAAACAATTGGTCTTCCAAGTCTGGAGGATGAGCAGGAGCATTGTCCAGTACCAGGAGGCACTTGAGTGGCAATTTCTTTTCCAGGAGGTATTTTTTCACACTGGGGCCAAATACATCATTGACCTACTCTTGAAAATGTGCCTTGTGACCCATGCTTTCCACATCACACACAATCTATTGTTGATGACATTGTTTTTCTTGAACCCTCTGGGATTTTCAGAGTGATACACCAGTAAGGGCTTCACTCTGAAATCCCCACTAGCGTTAGCACAGAACAAAAAAGTAAGCCTGTCTTTCGTAGGCTTGTGTCCTGGCAGTGCTTTTTCCTCCTGCGTAATGTAGGTCTTCTTTGGCATTTTCTTCCAAAACAGGCCTGTTTCACCACAACTGAACACTTGGTGGGGGAGGAATCCTTCAGTCTCTACGTACCCCTTGAATTCCTGCACAACTTTTTCAGCATACATTTTCAGAATTTGCAGCCTCCCCATGCCTTACCACACTGTGTATGCCACTATGCTTCTTAAATCTCTCAAACCAGCCTTTGCTGGCCCTAAATTCACTAACAGCAGCACTTGTTCCAGGCATTTTCTTTACAAGATCTGCATGCAACTGCCTTGCTTTCTCACAAATCATCAACTCCACAACATTACCTCCCGCTAATTGTTTTTCGGTGATCCACAACACCAACAACTTCTCCATATCTTCCATTATCAGTGACCTTTGTTTGGTTAGCACATTTACTCTTTTTGCCACATCAGCTTCCTTGATTTGTTCTTTCTTTGCCAGGATAGAAGTGATTGTTGATTTGTTTTTCCCATACATCCTGGCAAGTTCTAGCACTCGAACACCACTCTCATACTTTTCAACAACTTTTTTCTTAAATTCCATCATGTTTCTCACTTTCTTTGCCAAAGGAACTTTACTTTGGGGCCATGGTTACTTATTTCCCAGTTGCACTTAATTGATAACCACGAAAATCAATGAATTACAGCGAAATGTTTGGATATATGAGCAGAAGCTTCCTCACTCACCCAGAGACAAAGCAAGACTGACGTGCTCGTGGCTGGCAGTGGTGGGTTGACACGTACCATACGGTCGATATGTGAAATAACGGCTGATAACCGGGAGTCGAAAAACCGGCTGATAACTGAGTTGGCTGATAAGCGGAATGGCCAATAACCAAGGGTTCACTGTAATACAGCACTGAAAATTCATATATGTAGTTTATATAGATTTTTGGTTAGTTTGATAGATATAAATAAATAAAAAATCAATAGCTATTGAGGTTTCCAATAAAGATGATATCTGAAAGTGATTAAATGATAGATGATGGAATTATTTATGTCACTCTGCTCTACGTTAATTGCTGACTCCCTGCACGTGCGCGCACACACAGTAGATAATTTAAAGTAAAAAAAACTAAGGTGGATTTGTCATGATAATTTCCAGGGGAAAGTGGAACAGAATTCTTCCTCCATAAGCCATGTGTGTCATAAGAGGCGACTAAAATGCTGGGAGAAAGGGGCTAGTAACCCCCTTCTCCTGTATACATTACTAAATTTAAAAAGAGAAACTCTTGTTTTTCTTTTTTTAGGCTACCCTGCCTTGGTGGGATACAGCCTTCTTGTTGAAAAAAAAAATTATGAAATACCCAAAATAACGTAAAAATGTTCAGCGTTCTATTTTTATAATTTAGTCCTCTTGAAATTATGTAATTTATTTAATAAACAATTTCTACATCTTCCTAGTGATGTAATAGTTATGATAAGTAAGTAAGTTTATTCAGGTATACACAGATACAGTTACATAGAATTATCATACATAGCAGCATATGTGTAGAGAACCTAGGCTTATTTCTTGGTTTATAGTACACCATGGAAGATTTATTACTATAGTATGGTACTGTATGTATTCACATAATTGGCACACTTAATATATTAGCATGTTAGATAAAAAAAATTCTGGATGCTTAAACTACACTATGAATTTCAAAGGCTAAAATAGTATTACCTGGAAAAGAATTTGTAAGTACGTACAGTGGACCCCCGGTTTACGATCAGCTCCCAATGCGACCAATTATGTAAGTGTATTTATGTAAGTGCGTTTGTATGTGTATGTTTGGGGGTCTGAAATGGACTAATCTAATTCACAATATTCCTTATGGGAACAAATTCGGTCAGTACTGGCACCTGAACATACTTCTGGAATGAAATAATATTGTAAACCGGGGGTCCACTGTATACATCATTGCATTTGCCTATATTTACTTCTTTAGCCACTATTTTGATTATCCTTGTGGTAACCAGTAAGACTGTGCCTTGTGCAAAGTTTCCCTAGTTTGGTTGAACAGTTTGGGCAGGTAAAATGTAACACAAGTTTGCTCTGTGAGGAGAAATTGTCTGTCCCACACCACAGTTTAACAAACCTGAAGCTTTACCTCCTGTGTCAAAGACTGTGAAGAAGTGGACAGGGTTTATTATCCAAATTATTCAGAATATGAAAGGTCTGAAAATCTAAAGTCAAGAAAAGCTGCATCTCATAGTGCAAAATAAAATTCTTTGTTTGTGTGTATCGAATTCTTTTCAGTGGTCATTTATAAAATAGTACACGCAATTGCACTGAAAATGTTCAATGCAACAACCTTGTAAAGGAGAGTACAGTAATTGTGTTCTTCAACAAATGTGTAATATTAGAGCTTGATGTGAATCAAAAACATATGCAATGGGTTACAGTTCTATTTGGATATTTGTGTCCCTGTCCATTGATGAATCTTATACTATTTGACAGATCTGTGTCCTGTTTGACAAATCTGTGTACTATTGGACAGATCTGGGTACTGTTTGACAGATCTGTGTCCTGTTTGACAAATCTGTGTACTGTTTGACAAATCTGTGTACTATTGGACAGATATGGGTACTATTTGACAGATCTGTCCTGTTTGACAGACCTGTGTACTGTTTGACAGATCTGTGCATGTGATTGAAGAATTGTTTAGTTGAGTGTTATATGCATGGTGTTTGGATGTTTTAAGTGTGTGCAGGTGACTATGGGGTTCGCTTTACAGGCGAGCCTGGTTTGACTGGTCTGCCAGGGGAACGTGGCGAGCTGGTTTTCGCTGGGTTATTTACAGGTCAGATTCTTCCTCCTATCTTTGTGTGATTAGATTCTTTTTAGCTCTTTCCTACCTTGACAGTAGAATGAATGAATGCAAGTCAAAGTTTCATTCTTCCTTTGGACTTTGGTAACAATTGTAAATATCTTACCAATGTAGAACAATATATTTTTCTTATGGTTACCTCGATCTTATGAACTTCATATTGTAAGAAATCTTCTGTACTCTCTCTAATAATTAATTAAAACTTAGACATGAATGTTTCTGAACTTTAGAACTTCAGCATGTTTAAAGCTATTTCTTGTTCTGTGTATTGTTTCACAAGTAATATGGCTTATAAAAGGTGTTTGAAATAACATTCTGATGCTGCTTACTGTCTTACATAATATACATGTTCTATGCATTTATTAGTTGAATGCATAAGACATGTGAATTTTGTGCCTAACATCTTATGAAGACATTTTATAAGCACAGTACAGTACTTACTTCAAGTCAGTGCCATATCTATTTTTATTATTGAGTGGATATATTTTCTTTATCATTATCTTAGCTAACATTGCCACTGTTGTAGCCAAATGATATGACTGACAGTGGGCTGCTTTTGCCAGTTATGCTTATCCCTAAATTGCACGAAAGTACAGGCAGGCCCCGCTTATACAGCAGGTTAGGTTCGGGCTACTGCTGAAAAATGAAACATGGCCTTTTTTTTCACTTTCAAATGCATGTAAAAGCCTGATAACATGTTTACACTATCATATTTTCAGTGAGCAATAGAGGCAGGCCTAAAAAATGCATATACAGTAAACACATTACTTACCTTAAAATTATCATCATCCTTTGCTTATAGTGAGTGGTGAATATATTTATTGTACAAAGTCTGAATAATGAAGAATGGGTATAACTGAAAACTGCTGCATTAGCGAAATGCCATAAATCAAAGTGCTATAGAGCAGGGCCTGTTTATACATATCTTAAAATGGAAAACCCTGAATGATTACTGTTCATGCCTTTTTTTCTGTTGACATTTCTTGCTTATTGCTAAGTACATTGATAATAATTATTATCGTTAAACTGAAAAGGATAAGTTTTTACAGAACATTTGCAATGTATACTATATTGTTTATGCAGTATATACAGTGGTACCCTGAGTTTCGTACAGCTCCCAAGTTGAACAGTTATGTAAGTGTATTATTGTAAGTGCTTTTGTAAGTTTATTTTTGGGGATCTGAAACAGACTAATCTAATTTACATTATTCCTTATGGGAACAAATTTGTTCAGTAATGGCACTTGAACAGCCTTCTGGAACAAATTTTGTATGAAACTTGGGGTACCACTGTATACTCAGTCAAGCCTCTTAACATGCTTCTGATACCTCTGTTATGCTATGGTCACAGTTCCCCCACTCATTCATATTCTGCATAGTTATAGTTTTTTGGAAACTTAATATCCAGCCACATGGAAAATGATAGGCTTTGATAGGTTTGAGATAACTAGAACCTTCAAAACAAGGGATGCCAAGCCACTGATAACACTCTTAAGTCACGCAGTCTCTCTAGGCTTGAGTAATACTCTGTTATAACAGCTCTCTTCAAGGCAGGAGAAATTGCAACGCTAGGGTATTGACTCTCGGAAAAGTCTCCAGGTAGTTTCTAAAGGATGCATGCCCTGGGGTCGACTAAATGATTGAAAATTCTATCGATTTGTTTTTTATACTTATTTGGCACTGATGATAGGGCAGTGGAGGACTGAAAAGCTTCCACTACTCTTTTCATATTTCTGGCTGGAGTATGAAAAATACATTTTATGCAGAATATTGTGATTCCGAGGTTCTTGGAAACTGCAACTTTAATTGAAATGTTATATAACAAAATCAGTTTTACAATAGGCTAATTGATATAAACATCATGGGTGCCCATAGCACCTTTAGCACTCATTGCAACAGGGTTAAATTAAGGAATAAATGTTTGCAAAGCAAAAATTGTAAGGAGCACCTCCTACCACCACACAGTTCAAAAATGAACATGCAAATTCCACACACAGTGGCCCTGGTCAGAAATAGATTTTTTACATCAATGTTGTAACGAAACAACATTAAGAGAGGACTTACTGTACTATAATGTACACAACCAACAAACCCTTGATTTAACAAATCTTGCTTTAATGAACTGAAATATGGGATAAAATCTACTGGGTCATTTGATTTGGAAACAATGGACAAAGTCTCTCAGCTACAGAATCATCCATTATTGTTATGACCATGGCAAAATACTCGCATCTCTATTGACCATAGCTACCATTGCAGGCCATGTCCTCACCACTGTAGTCCATTAAATTGAAGGTATAATGTACTGTATAATATTACTCAAGTGAAATACACAGCTTACATCAGATCTTGTCATCTTGCAGCGTACTATGGAGGCACCTCTCAAAGAAAGTTCTCTGAAACCATACCCCCGGCCGGGATTGAACCCGCGCTCATAGTCTCAAAACTCCAGCCCGTCGCGTTAGCCACTAGACCAGCTAGCCACAATAAGATTCATCCAACTAGGTATATTTCTACACCATAGGAAGGTTAGCACAGGCACCACTGTGACCACAAATGCAAGTTTTTACAGACGAATCTCCAGCAATCGTGTCATTACGATTTCTTGAGTCATAAAGTTCTCTGACATTGGTGATGGGGATCTTGATCTAAAGAATTGGACAAATGCTCCAAGTTCTTGAATCAAGCCTGAATACCTTTCATTCATACCTTTCATTCTATGACCCCTATGAGCTGAGTGCTTCTCCATGAATGTAATAATAACTACAAAGGTTTAGTGTTCATTCTGCCTCTCCCTCACTAGTGGTTACCAGAGTAAGATAATCATATAAATTATAATCAAATTAGAGAAAGAGCACATATTCAGGTTTTACAAGTATGTGACAATGCTAATAGAAAAACAAGCATGTGTATATTTTATTTTTATATGAAATAAACATGATGACAGTGTTAGAATATACCTAGTATATTATACACACATCATGCAGTCTTCTCAAAAAGAGTTAATTTCTTAAGCTATTTTCCAGGACTACAAATTCAATTTTTTTTCGTTTTGTGGTACAGAATAATGTAGTTTACATGTAATAATACATTGGTAGGCACAAAAGAAAGCAACTAGTATGCAAATTATTAGTAGTATTAGTTTTATTAGTACAGTTTTAGTATTTTTATTAGCATTATTCCAGTAGTCATAGGGAAACATGTAACCCCTATGTGTCATACAATGCCTGTATAATTATTGAAGACCTGGGTGTGTGACTGCCCAACCACTTTAAAGGTGTGAATGTGGTTAGTTATCAGTAAGCTCTCCTCTACCTAATTTATATCTCAAAATCCAATAAACGTTAACATCCACAAATCTTTTTGTTTTAGCCATTAGTAGCATTTTAGCTTTCATTAAGAGTAGGTAAACTTTTTAATTGCATTTATATCACCTTTTTTCTTTATTGTATGAGATGTTTTACTTCAAACTGGCTTCTGCAAAGCAACTTTTTATACTGTATATGAAAATACTTTATTATATGATTACCATTTTATTACTACAGTATTTTTATTATATTATATTATCATTAGTATTACATATAATAATTGAGTGGGAAATGTTAAATCTGCATGGGAAATGGAAGGTATTTATAAAGTTTGATCCAAAGGGAGGATAGGCCCACTTTAGATCAAGAGCCTTTCTCTTGCATCAAGACACCTTTTAGGGGAGAAATTAATTACTAAATATAAATGGATTATTTATCACTTTTAAAGTAAACCATTATTCTCAGCATTTATCAGACAAGCCATTTCTTATACAGCAATATTCAAAGGAGAGATTCATACATACAATATACATGTACAGTAAAGTAAAAGGCAGTAAAGAATATTACTGTACAAAATAAATAGTAAGTTCTAGTTTAGTGAAACCAAATAGCTACAGAAACTTCTGATTTTTTTTTTATCGCCCTGGCCATCTCCCACCTAGGTATGGTGACACAAAAAAAGAAACGCTTTCTCCATCATTCACACTATCACTGTCTTGCCAGAAGCGTGCAGATACAATGTTCAGATGTCCCTACAAACAGCAAATATGACTTCTAAATAATTTTATTAAATAATATATGATAACTATGTTTTTTTTTTTTTTTTTTTTTTTTTTTTTTTTTTTTTTTTTTTTAACAAGTTGGTCGTCTCCCACCGAGGCAGGGTGACCCCAAAAAGAAAGAAAATCCCCAAAAAGAAAATACTTTCATCATCATTCAACACTTTCACCACACTCACACATTATCACTGCTTTTGCAGAGGTGCTCAGAATACAACAGTTTAGAAGCATATACGTATAAAGATACACAACATATCCCTCCAAACTGCCAATATCCCAAACCCCTCCTTTAAAGTGCAGGCATTGTACTTCCCATTTCCAGGACTCAAGTCCGACTACAGTGGACCCCCGGTTAACGATTTTAATCCGTGCAAGAGGGATAATTGTTATGCGAAATAATCGTTATGCGAATGAATTTTCCCCATAAGAAATAATGGAAATAAAATTAATCCGTGCAAGACGCCCAAAAGTATGAAAAAATTTTTTTTTTACCACATGAAATGTTAATTTTAATACACACAAACTGAAAAAGGCATGCACAATTACATGACACTTACTTTTATTGAAGATCTGGTGATGATTGATGGGATGGGAGGAGGGGAGAGCATTATCTTCTTACTGTTTAGAAGGGGAATCCCCTTCCATTAGGACTTGAGGTAGCAAGTCCTTTTCTGGGGTTACTTCCCTTCTTTTTTAATGCCACTAGGACCAGCTTGAGAGTCACTGGACCTCTGTCGCACAAACAAATCTGTCCATAGAGCTCTGTACCTCCCGTTCCTTTACGATTTGTCTAAAATGGGCCACAACATTGTCATTGAAATAGTCACCAGCACGGCTTGCAACAGCTGTGTCAGGGTGATTTTCATCTATAAAGGTTTGCAGTTCAACCCACTGTGCACACATTTCCTTAATCTTTGAAGTAGGCACAATGGATTCCACAACTGGCATAGGCTTCTCAGGGTTAGCCCCAAACCCTTCAAAATCTTTCTTAATTTCCATACTAATTCTCACCCTTTTTACCACAGGGTTGGCACTAGAAGCTTTCTTGGGGCCCATGGTCACTTATTTTCCAGAAACAGCACCGAAAACACTGTAATAATACGAAATATTCCGAGTGTATGCTTGGATGTTACCGCGGAGGCTGGCTGGTAAACAATGGGACGGGCGGCATATGTGAGGGCACATTGGACGCGTCTCGGACGAAAATCGGTGAGCGGGTTTTTAATCGGTATGCGCGGCAAAAATTTTGCGATAAAAGTAAGCGGTATGCGGAAAAATCGCTATGTGATGCCATCGTTATGCGGGGGTCCACTGTATAAGAAAATAACCGGTTTCCCTGAATCCCTTCACTAAATATTACCCTGCTCACACTCCAACAGATCGTCAGGTCCCAAGTATTATTTGTCTCCATTCACTCCTATCTAACACGCTCATGCACGCTTGCTGGAAGTCCAAGCCCCTCGGCCACAAAACCTCCTTTACCCCCTCTTTCCAACCCTTTCAAGGACGACCCCTACCCCTCTTTCCTTCCCCTATAGATTTATATGCTTTCCATGTCATTCTACTTTGATCCATTCTCTCTAAATGACCAAACCACCTCAACAACCCCTCTTCTGCCCTCTGACTAATGCTTTTATTAACTCCACACCTCCTAATTTCCACACTCCGAATTTTCTGCATAATATTTACACCACACATTGCCCTTAGACAGGACATCTCCACTGCCTCCAACCGTTCTCCTCGCTGCTGCATTTACCACCCAAGCTTCACATCCATATAAGAGTGTTGGTACTACTATACTTTCATACATTCCCTTCTTTGACTCCACATATACCTCAATGCACCACTCACCTTTTTTCCCTCATCAATTCTAAGATTAACCTCATCCTTCATAAATCTATCCGCCGACACGTCAACTCCCAAGTATCTGAAAACATTCACTTCTTCCATACTCCTCCTCCCCAATTTGATATCCAATTTTTCTTTATCTAAATCATTTGATACCCTCATCACCTTACTCTTTTCTATGTTCACTTTCAACTTTCTACCTTTACACACATTCTCAAACTCATCCACTAACCTTTGCAATTTTTCTTTAGAATCTCCCATAAGCACAGTATCATCAGCAAAAAGTAACTGTGTCAATTCTCATTTTGAATTTGATTCCCCATAATTTAATCCACCCCTCTCCCGAACACCCTAGCATTTACTTCTTTTACAACCCCATCTATAAATATATTAAACAACCATGGTGACATTACACATCCCTGTCTAAGACCTACTTTTACCGGGAAGTATTCTCCCTCTCTTCTACACACCCTAACCTGAGCCTCACTATCCTCATAAAAGCTCTTTTACAGCATTTAGTAACTTACCACCTATTCCATAAACTTGCAACATCTGCCACATTGCTCCTCTATCCACTCTATCATATACCTTTTCTAAATCCATAAATGCAATAAAAACTTCCCTACCTTTATCTAAATACTGTTCACATATATGCTTCAATGTAAACACTTGATCTACACATCCCCTACCCACTCTGAAGCCTCCTTGCTCATCCGCAATTCTACATTCTGTCTTACCTCTAATTCTTTCAATTATAACTCTACCGTATACTTTTCCTGGTATACTCAGTAAACTTATTCCTCTATAATTTTTACAATCTCTTTTGTCCCCTTTCCCTTTATATAAAGGGACTATGTAAGTATTTATTCAAACTTAAAATTTTAACCATTTACATGTTTGTATAGATGCTGAAGTACATTTCTGGCTGTTAATTGAATAATCTAACTGGTATGCACAAGTCACAATCACTGAATCTTTCATTTTAAATAAGGCATCAATTTTAATACATGAATATTCTCTAACAACCTTCCCTCATTGCAAAACTAATACGTGCTGTACCTGTAATTTCGTATGTACACTGTCTAAAAATATTATCCATGTAACAGATGGTGCTGATACACTTCCCATTCAAGAACTGTTCCAGACAGTTGCACATCTTCGAGAGAACCTGAACCTTCTTGATGCTCGAGTACGAATCTTGGAGACGGAACTACCTAAAATTATTGGTAAGCTTGTGGTCATTTTAGATAGTACAGTACTAGTATATTACTCTACTATAATTTATTATCTTGTTACCAGAAATAATACAAGACAACATTTAGATTATTTTAAATAAATTTTAGCATTAATCATCATAATTTTTTGGTGATTTTTACTTTGCAATTTTTTTTTTACCTTCTAGTAGTAAGTTTCTTATCTGTTATTGGTGATGGAATCATTGGCTCTATCAACCTGGTCTCAGACCAGGCCTTCTAAATGAGAAAGGAAATGTTAAAAGAATGGGAACTGTTGTATTAAGAAAAGCAGACATAAATATTAGTGTACACATACTGAATGGAAGTGGAAGTTTGTAAGATTTACCTGTTCTTTTACATGTTCCTGAGACAAAGAAAAGATCAGCAGGCCTACTTGCTTTAGCTTTAAAACAGTACAAAATATGGCTACTAAAGCAGTTGTGCTTTTCCTAACTTAAGATGGAAATACATGTATGTATATTATAAGAGCCAATAGCTTTATTCTTAAGCTTGTATGGATATTGTAATACAGCCAGCAGGCTTAATAGTAAAAAATATAACATCTGGTTCCAACACTTTAGGAGCTGTCAGAGTTGCACTGTAATAAGCAAATGTTATTACCATACAGGTATACTATTTGACAGTATTTTTTTTAAAAACCCATACATAACATATGTAGGAGAAGAGACTACAGTATTTTCTGGTAAAATTAGGCTTTAGACAAAGATTTGTGATTTCACCATGATTGTGTAATATACATATTTATAAACTGAGTTGTAAAATTATTGTCAAATTCACGGGAAAGTGTGAAAACTATAGGGTCATACATACAGTGCCTGCAGTAACAGGAGATTGCCCTGAGGCACCCCATGTTGATAGGCATTATAAACACCAACATGAAAGAAAGAGAGATAGCGAAACTATATACTGTACAGTACTTTAGTATGAGGGTGGTAAGCAAATTTAATGAACTTCGGGAGGATGTAGTGGAGGGTAACTCCATTCGTGAAATAAATCCTAAAAATGAAGTACATCACAACTGTTTATTGATGGCCGAGATTATTATTATTATTATAATCAAAAAGAAGCGCTAAGCCACAAGGGCTATACAGCGCTGCAGGGTAGGGAAGGAAGCGAGGGTATTGGGCGGCAGGAGGGGGAAGGGATGATCAGTAGGTTACAGAAAACAGCGGGGCAGGGGATAGTGCGGGGGTAGAGGGTAGCAAGAGATTGAGGTAGAAAGGGCTGAAGGTATCAGAGTTTGTGAAGTAAGTCAGTTGTTGTCAAAAAGTCAATGAGAGAGTCCGGATGAAAGGTGGGTCCATCAGCGAGAAGGGAAGGTAAAGAGAGCAGCAGCGGAGTGAAGATGACGACGGAGGTAAATTCTGCGTGCTCGTTGATAAAGTGGGCAGTCTAACAGAATGTGGCTGACTGATAATGGAACCTGACAATTCTCACAGAGAGGAGCAGGGCCCCTCTCCATGAGATATCCATGAGTAAGACAAGTATGACCAATGCGAAGACGGGAGAGAGTAGTCTCCCAACCTCGATACTGGTGACAAGAAGACGGCCAGTAACCTATACAGTACTCGGTTTAGTAGATTGAAGTTTGTTACCGAGCATAGTAGACCAACGTTGTTGCCAACGGGTGTGAAGGTGGGTAGCTATTGCAGCAAAATAGTCCGTAAATGGGATACCTCTATATGAAACTGGTAGGTCATATACTGCTGACCGCGCAGCAGTGTCTGCCTGTTCATTGCCCTGTACATCAACATGACCAGGGACCCAACAAAAAACAATATCTTTATGCTTGGTAAAGATACGGCATAGCCAAAGTTGGATACGGAGGACTAAGGGGTGAGGTGTATCAAATTTCTGTATAGCCTGTAAAGCACTAAGGGAGTCTGAGACAACCACAAATGATGACTCAGGCATAGATGCAATACGGATAAGTGCTGCAAGAATGGCATACAATTCAGCAGTAAAAATACTATCCGAAGATAGTAAATGCCCTCGTACGACACTGTCCGGAAACACTGCTGCGAATCCTACACCGTCAGAAGACTTAGAGCCATCTGTGTACACTGCAATGGCATGAGAATGAGAGTGGAAGTGGGCAAGAAAAAGAGAGCGGGAAGCCACCGTAGACAGTTGGGCTTTCGAGCAAGGGAGAGAGAAAGAACAGACTCGAACAGCTGGAACTTCCCAGGGGGGGTAGGGAAAAGTGAGATGCTACATGAACATAGAAAGGTGGTAATTGAAGAGAAGACAAGAGCGAATGTAGGCGAAGAGAGAAGGGACGGAGTAAACAGGGGCAGCGAACAAATAAAGAATGTCTACTAATATCAGTGACCATTCTATAAATGGAAGGATTGAGATCATGAGAGCGTACATAGTAGCGAAGGCAATGGGCATCACGGCGATCGGATAAGGATGGAACGTTCGCTTCTGCATAGAGGCTCTCAACAGGGGAAGAGCGAAAAGCACCAAGGCATAAACGTAATCCTTGGTGATGAATGGGGTTAAGGCTAGAGAGAGTAGCAGGAGATGCCGCTGAATAGATCTGGTCACCATAATCAAGTTTCGATAAAATGAGGGTGGAATGTAGGCGAAGGAGGGTTCGACGATCAGCTCCCCATGAAAGATGAGCAAGGGTTTTAAGAAGGTTCAGCCGGCTGTGACAAGTTGCCTTCAGAGAGGTAATGTGAGGTTTCCAGGATAACCTACGGTCAAAGAGGAGGCCCAGAAACTTTACTGTATTACATTCAGGGATACGGGAGCCATAGAGGTACAAAGGATGATCGGAGATGACAGAGCGTCTAGTGAAAGTAATTTGGTGGGTTTTAGTGCTGGAAAATTTAAACCCGTGTGTGGTGGCCCAATTGGAAACACGGTCAACTGCATGCTGGAGAGAAACTGTAATGAGGTGACAGTCAGCGCCTGTACAGGCAATAGCGAAGTCATCAACATAGAGTGATGACCAAATATTTGATGGAAGACTAGAGGCCAAATCATTAATAGCAAGGAGAAAAAGTGTTGTGCTCAGAACACATCCCTGGGGGTGATGGCCGAGAGTTTAGGTCCAGCAGCTGGAGCTGGACTCCTATAAACAGCAAAATAACTACACATGAAAGGAAATTATTTGAAAATTATTTGAATTTATATAATCTCAAAATAAAGAACTGGACTATACTATAAGGAATTATCAGTAAAAGTAGCAAAGGATGAAAGTTGCATTGAATCAACTATCCGAGAAAACATACAAACTTTATTGATATGAATGGGCAGGCATTTATTTTGTTAATGGTGGGGAAATGAGGCACTTCGTTCATAATTGAGATTTTCAAAACTTTGGATACTTCATTTTCATTCCTTGGCATTTTGTGAAGAGTTTTACTGTACCAACGAGAAAGCATGGATTTTTGTGAGAATAACCTTTTAATCTACTTAACAAGAGTGAACCCTTCCTGCCTGTCTTGACAAATGTTCTTGCTATCTTAGCATGCTATGCAGTCAGAAAACTACAGCATTTATCTTAATGCAAAGAGTTTTACAAAATATTTTACATTTATAATCACTACATGGATACTGTTGTACCATTCATTCATTTCATATTAGGTAAAGTGTGCATAGACTAACCAATATTTTTTGTATAAACATTCTGTGAATGTGCATTGTGGAATACTGTATTACTTTTTCTCCCTATATTTGTTTTGCAGTAAATGTTTTCTATTTTTCTTGAAAACATTACTAAGTTATATTTGTCAGCAATTATATTATTTCTTACTACTAAAATCATCCAAACAGAATTATTAACATTATGCATGAAAGACAGTTATATTTAATCTTCATATAGAAAAATAGCATTATTTATGAAAGAAATACAGCAGTGTTAACATTTACTTAAAAAAAAATAACTTGAATTTTTTGACTGGTTAACCAAAACTAAGTTTACAGGTGATCCCAGGTTAACTTGGATGCTTCTACAACCTCGCCCTGGCTTAACCTGATCTAACTTAACACTAACATGTTGAGGGGTGGATGCCACCTGGTGAGGTGTCGTCAAAGCACAGCTCCATGTCTCGCCTTCCCCAGGATCTCTGAGGAGGTAAAGATTGGACAAATGCTGCACCACAAATAAGGTCATTCTCGCATACTGTGTCATATCTGTGGTAGTTGAAATATACAGTAGATAATTACAGATCAGGAAAATGTTAAAAGGAAGGGTATGCCAGACTTATCCATCTTGTACTAAGTAGTTTTGAAACTAAACAAGACAATTCCAAAACTGCTTTAAACTTATACATCACATGATGCTTGTCTGGCAGTATTCATACTGAAGTCGACATTCCTCACTACAAATAATAAGCCACCCTCAGCACTTCCCGCCCCTCCTGCCCACCACTAATGCAGCGCTTTCCCATGTGTTGCAGGCCAGTGGCAGGCCTCAGACTACATTAGGGTTCTACAGCCCTGGCTGCCACCCGACGGGGCATGGACCTAAGGGCTAGGGGCGGGAGCAGCGGAGTGGGGCGGCTCACCACACCCACACCATCACCACAGTCCACACTAATCTCCAACCAGTGGAATGACCATTTGTGAGATGCCTCACCCCTCCAACATTAAAAAACAAATATTGAAATCGTGCAGTCATTAATACAACCAGACTTTTATGGTTTCTACACTTGCACCAGTATGATTTCACTGATGCTTACAGCTGACTGTTGACTGCATACAGCACCTCACAATCTCCAAAGAAGTTACTTAATAAAAATATGTACTCAGGTTACACTGGAGTTAAATGATGAAAGGATATTTTTTCTCCAAATAAGAGTTTTTTTTACAAACTGCATAAAAAGTTGCATCATACTGGTAGATTTTATGATCTTTAATTCAGGCGATAAATCTTTTAATGATTATGAAGACTAATAATTTAGAAAGGTTACCATGATTCCTTTTACATACAGTATTACTATAGGTTTGTCTGTCTT